CTTCGACGGCTGGAGGATGAGGCCAGGCCGCCTGGCGTCTGCCCGAAAGCTGCGCACGCTCGCAATGAGAACTTTTGCTTCGGGAGGGTCAAGTCCGCGCCGCTGCGTCGTGAAATCATCCATGGGAACGCGCGCCGTGGAATCATCATACATGTTGTACTGATTGCTGACGCAACGTACAGCGCGACCAACCATACCGTCGCTGCGCTCGCACATCCTGCAAGTACACATTGATGGGGGTAAATGTAGAGAGCCAAGATTTCCATCTGTGCAAGTCGTGCGAGGCACTCGATCTGTCTGCATTATCGTCGCCATCAGTCTAGCAGGAACCCAGACCACGCGCTTCTCGCCATTCGATGATCCATACTGTTGTTTCATAACTTTTGAACGTGTCAAAGAAAACTGGGATGACATTGAGCTTCCGTGCGCGTGGTGTTTCAGCTGACATATCAAACTGGAGTGCGCAATAGGATGAAGACCTTCTTGCGCCAGTGCCCCAGAACGATGGGCGGTGATGACCGCTCTCCCGCGCGGCACTGAAGGGCCGCCGTGATCGGTCCCAGATCCTCAACAACGCGCTGGGCAAAGCGACGAGCCTGGCGCCGCCGCTTGGCTTCGGGACCGCGCCAAGCTCTGTGAACAATTGATCCTGCGGCCATGTCAATCTCTCCTCGCATGTCATGGAGAGCTCATCCATCGCTGGTAGACCTTCGTCATGGAGAGTCCAAAACTGCCGAGGGAGATCGTGCGCGAATCTGACAACGTCCGTCGCGTCGAGCAATGCGCATGCCGGCGCTCCGCAACTGGAGGCCCGTCAGCACTGGCAGGCGCCCCCGCCTGCTCGCGTCAGCAGGCGCGGGGTGCTCACAAGCGCCGTGACGACACCAGAAATGCTTGCACCTTCCCAATTCTTGATCGGCTAGTTGTGTTGGCACGGGGTGGTCCGATGCTTGCAGGGCCAGCTGGAACGACCGAAAGGCGCGTGCATCTGCGAGCATCCCGTCCGCCATTCCTGAACGCCTCCTCCGCCCATGTTAGCCGCTCTTCTTCGCGTTGCGCCGGATGCAAGTCCTGCGTGAGCTGCGACTGCGCCATCGCATGCTCGATCTTCCGAACCCACTCGCCATCGCTGAACCAGACAGGTTCGTCCGACGCCCGATGAGCGTCGACCGCGTCGATGGCCCCACGAGAAAGAACTCCCCATGTCGTAGCAGAGGGCTTCCAGCTGCTCCGCGCGGGCCTGCCCGCCCATATCCGAGCTTTCAGAGGCCGCGTTTGCCCGAGCTGGTCGAACTGGCCGTTGGCGACGGTGCTCCTTGAGTGCCTTGAAAAACACATTTTCCAGAGGAACTGAAACTCCCGCTTTCGATGTGATCGTGGGCAGCGCGCCCATGCACTCTGCCATGCGCCAATTGCGGCGCGCCCAGCTCTCAGCTACTCGCCACGAGCACGCGCGCCCATTTCCATACTCGCGCCAATCTCCAGGCATTCGCGCGCGCGAAATGGTGTCTGCTTCGCGTCGGCCAGGCGATAGCTACCGTAAAGAGTGTTCACCTGCGGGCTCATGCCGTCTAGCTGTTTCCAATTCAACAAGATTGGTCTCTGCCTTTCATGTCCAAAGAAGCTCCTCGTCGGAGCCAGCGCATGCACTCTGTTTGCGAAATGCACTTCGTTTACAAGGACACCGTGCACACCTAGGGAGCTTCATTTTTCTCAGCATGGCGTGGTATTCCTGCGTCCTCGCGGCCACGGGCACTGGCAAATGGCATGTTGCATCCGCATCCTCAATCGCAATGGGCCGACTGTTGGTGTTTAGAGGACCTGCTGCAACCGGGAATTGGACAAAATGCAATCAGTGGATGGTTTGGCATTCGCAAAAACCAGAAATCAACGACGATCGAGGACCCCGAAAACCAATGCGGTTTCTGGAAGGCTTGCATGGCCTGACGAAGGCCCGAAAGGGGCCCCGATATGGCCCAAGAGAAACCCACGAGGGCCCAGTATCATTGATCTTCCTGACACCATGGGCCGCCAAGATCAACGGATGGCCGCCGATAGCACAACAAGACAAGCCAAACGGCCCCCCAAAAAACCCAACCAACGAGTGCCCAATATACCTGTAACGTCGCCGTATAACGCAACTCTGACCAGCTTAACTGCGCGTTCCCTGGTCGCAAGCAGAGAGGACATCTTTGAACGTATGGATACACAAATGTACACTTCACAGTTCGACATTGCATGTATGCACGTAGCTCTGCATATGCCGAAACCAGCCCGTGATGTTCCGTCGCTAGAGCGTGAAATCGGTAGTGATAACAATCGTGAGATGAATAATGATATCGATACTGGGATCGTTAGTGGGTTAAATAGTGGCATGGAGATTTGCATCGATTGTGAGATCGACTGTCAGCTCGACAATGGGATCGACGACGATAAAGGTCGATCGTGAGACCGATCGTGAAGTCGATTCAATAACACCGATAGCGAGAGCAATCATTATACCGTTCGTGCGATTTACAGCGGGATCGATTGTGATATCGCTCGGGGGATCAACTGTGAGATCGATAGGGGGGGCGATAGCGAAATGGTAATGGTATTCGGTGTGGGACCGCTCGATAAGAAGATCGAGCAAGAACCCAGGAACGCAGAAACAAGGGAAGCCGGAGCTTAAACTTTCGCTCGGGCGCCGCTAAAAATAGTCTTACACAATCGTTCGCCCAAGCGCCGCTGACAACCGTTTTGCATAGTTGCAACAATTGCAGCGGTGGAGGGCTGGTGGGTTCTGTTTTTGAAAGGGGCTCTCACCTGAGCGCCGCGCAAATTCGTCTCACTCTTCCCTTCCTCCTTCTGTCTCCTTCCCTTACCCCTTCCCCTCCCTTGTTCCGTTTCCTGCTCCCCGTCCCCCTTCTCCTCTCACTCTTCCTGCTCCTCCTCCCCCCTCTCCTACGCCCCCTCCTCTCCTCCCCCTCCCCTCCTCCTGCCCCCCCTCCACCTCCTTCTCCACCTCTCCCTCTCCTGTCCTCTTCCTCGTCTGACTAGCTTGTTAGAAGGGTCGGCTGGGCGGTTCGCATGAGACTCCCCCACGATGTTCGATCATGAAGCTTAAAATCTGCGACAGCTTCCATGGTAGAGGATAGCTCGTTCGAGCAAATCGGCTCTCGCTTTCGCGCCGCGGACCCACGTCTCAAAAGCTTGCAGCGGCTACAAGGATTGAGGGCCAGTCGCTTTCAAAGTGGGGCTCTCGCCCTGGTCGCGCACGCTCGTCTGCAAAGCCAATCATCACAGGATGAAGGGCCAGCAATTTAAATAATGGAGCTCTCTCATCAGCGCCGAGGGCACTCGTTTCAAAACTTGTAGAAGTTACAAGGATGGATGGAGGCTGGTTCGGCTTCACGATGCGGCTCTCGTTGGAGACGTCCCCGAATTCTACGACTCGAAGCTAAAACACGTGCAGCAACTACACGGATGGACTGCGGATCCTTTTCAAGATGGGCCTCAAACTTTAGACCCCCGCGACAGTTGATGGCCGTCCGCCACCGTGCTTGCACTGAGTGGGCGTGTCAGAACGCCTGCTGTTGTCTTGGAGGGTTTTGAATGTTGCCTAGGGCCGACCCCCCCCCCCCGGCACGCGCGCGCTTCGAAGATCGCTGAAATTGTTCTCCGAGGGTCCTACCGAAAGGGCAAGATGGCCTCCAAGACGGCTTACAGGGCAGTCAAGAGAACACCAAGACGGCCCAAGATGACCCAAAACGGGTCAAGACGGCCTCAAGAGGCTCCAAGACGGTCCAAAGAGGGCTCCCGGAGGCCCTCCAAGAGAGTCCGAGGAAGCTAAACATATTAACGTTCCGAAGGTGTTCGAAGGACTCTGACATTGTCGCCTGCTTGGGCTTTCGACCGCCCAACAAGGCCCAAGAGGCCTCCAAGATAGCCCCAAGACAGCCTATACGGCCTCCAAGAGGGCCCCAATTCGGCTCAAGATCGCCAGAGAGGCTCCCAAGAAGGCACCAAGACGGCCCTAGAGCGCTCCAAGAGGGCACCAAGACGTCCAGATTAGCCTCTAAGGCTGCCCCCGAAGGCGTCATACGGGCCAATCGCCTCCCCAAGCAGGCCCAAGAGGCTCCAAGATGCCCCCAAGAGGCCCCAGGAGGCCCCCGAAAGGCCCTCGAGAGACCCTCCAGGAAGCTCCCAGGAGGCCCCCAGGATGCCCCAAGAGGGCCACACGATGCGTTCTACTCCTCGTCATCATTTTCTCATCTCCTCCTCCTCCTCCTCCTCTTCCTCCTCCTCCTCCTTCTCCCCCCCACCGCGCGGACGAAGACGATGTCGGGATCACGATCCTCCCCAGTTCAGACCACTCGCTGAACTGCCGCGGGGTCTGAACTCGACAAACTTCATACCACGCGGGCGAAGACGAGGTTGAGTTCACCGACCGTCCTCAAAATACCGTTTGTCGAAATTGCGCTGTTCCTGCACTCAGTCTCCTTTCTACAGCGCTGTTGCACAGGCATAGTGGCGGGGTTTGCCGCAGGCAGCTGGCTAACTTCAAATGGTGCAACTCTTACTTACAACGTCGCCCTTGAAATGTCGGATTATGTTCGGAAAGTGGCTGTGGCTGGAGACTTCCTTGAACTTCCACGTTCTACTCCTCCGCGCTGCCTTTAGCTCGGAAATTGGATGGTGTAACCTTCACATAATGGAATATTGCCCTGATGGCAGGCCAACTGGGCGCTCGTCATTCCGGCGGGGTGTTTCCGACCGTGGAATATAATACTTGTAGAGACGTATGAATTATGAAGTGGGGGCTTGGGACGGGGTGGTGTATTGCAGCATCGCTGATGAATACTGGGTTTACGCTGATCTCCTCTTCTCCCCCCTTCCCTTCGTGCCCTCCGTCCCCCTCCTCTTTCTCTCTCCCTCCGTCTCCCTCCGCCTCCCTCCTCCCCCCTCGACTCCCTTCCCCTCCACCATGCGCACGAGCAGAAGGCCCCAGCCCAGGCAGCCTGAGAGTCCTTCTTGTACGAAGGCTTTCCGTGGTTTTGCCCCACCGCGGTGAAGGAGCCGCGGACAATGGCCCCGACGGTGGCGTGGGCGCAGCCGCTGACGCTCAGCTGGGAAGCGTTAGCGGCGGCACCGCCTGCGGATGGAAGGGGGCGGGGGGGGGGGGAAGACAAACTAGATGCGATCGCGCCATATCTGACATCCTACGCCCCACGTCCACCCCTTCCCATTGCGCTGATGTTCTCCACCCGCCGACGGGAGTCCTCGCGAACCTAGATCCCCAAGTACCCTCATCGTGTGATGTGCAATCAAAAAGGGGATCTGCGCATGCTGGAGAAAATGGCGGATGACGAGGAGGATGCGCAGGAGGAGGAGGAGGAAGATGAGAAAGGAAGAGGAGGCGAAGGACCAGCAGCAGCGGCAGGAAGAGCGGGGGGGGAGCAGGACGACCAAGAGAACACGGAGGGGAAAGGAGGGTACCGATAACGACGAGGAACTAATCAGATCCAGACGTGTGGCCCGCGATGGGGCGAGGGCGCTAATCCGAACGACGGGGGCAAAGCGCCGATCCTGAACTGTGGCCAGTGCTGCAGCGGGGGCACCATGCTGGAAAGACCGAGAACGTTCTGAGTGGATAAATCATCATGGAAAGGGTGCAATTTTCAAGAACTGTAGGCTAGCGAAACTAAAAAGACATCAGGGGATATCTGATGGTAGTTGAGGAAGAGTCAAGGGGGAAGGTTCGGCCGAGGAGCTAGATTGGGCATGACGAGGGCGAGGTGGTAGAGGTGGATCTAAAGGGGAAGGCGGAGGGGGACGGGAATTGACCTGGCATGGTGCCGAAGAGATTTGTGGGGAGCAGGAGAAGGGACTTCAGGAGGCACGTGTGCGGACTAGAGAGGGGAGGATGCGCTGGGGCAGGGATGGAGGAACGGAAGGAGGAACGCGGGGAGAAGCAGGAGGAGGCAAGGTAAGCACAGCCTGCCCGGGACCTGCGTGGCGGCCCGATGAGCAGGAGGAGGTAGGATGAGGAGGTGGGAGGACAAGAAAACCGATCAGGAGGAGCCGGCGTGCGAGGGAACATGATGAGAAAGAGGAGGAGCACGTACAAGCATGGGGGGACATCGCTCAACGGGGCACGGCACTGGAAGAAGCTCCTCTAGTTAGCCTGGTGCCGTTGCACCCTGCAGGACGTCCCTCCCCCCTCTCCTGCCTAGTCCACCGAGTCTCACCCTCCCTTCCCCACTCCTCATCCTCCCTCGCCCTCCCTCCCGCCCCCTCTTCCTCCGTCCTCACTTCATTCGTTTCTCATCCTCCTCCCTACTTTTCCTCCTCTTCTTCTTCTTCTTCTTCTTCCTCCTCCTCCTCCTCCTCCTCCTCCTCCCTAGTTCCCCTGCCACTGCTTACCCCTCATCGCTCCCCCCGAGCCTCCCTCGACTTTTCACATCCTTCATCGCTCCCCGTCCGCCTGCTCCTCAATCTTCCTTCCTCTCTCTCTCTCTCTCTCTTTCGCGTGCCTCTCCCCCTCGTGCCTCCTCCCTGCCCCGTGGCCTTCCCTCCCCGTCGCCGCCGCCTTTTCCCTCTGCCTTCTCGTGTTCCTCCCTCCCGCTCCTAGTCCCTCGTCCATCCTCCCTCGCCCCTCTCTCCCCTCCTCCTTCCCTCGCCTCTCGCTGTCCACCATACCTCTCCTCAACCTCCTTCCCTCGCCTCTCGCTGTCCACCATCCCTCTCCTCCTCCTCCCCCCGCGATCCGCCCCCGCCCTCCCTCCGTCGGGGGACAGGGGGGAAGGCGACCTGCCCCTCCTGGCTTCTGCACTGCCCGCCTGCCCTGGTCGGGGATCTACTGACCCGGGTCAAGCCGATACTGGGTCAGTCGGGCTTTGCAAGATCAGGGAAAATCTTGCAAGATCCTGAAGGATCCTGCGCGCTGACCCGAGACAATGCGACCCTGGCTTTGCAGGAACCTGCAAAATCCGGCTCTCTGGCTGACCCCCGTTTGCAACCCCCGTCTCAAGGCTCCCGACCTGGCATCGCCTCGCATCACCCGGCGGGCATCCTCGGGGGCCGAGAGCACCGCAGACAGAAACCGTGCGCAGAGGCGGATCGGCGACCGCGTGTCAGTGCAAATATCGCGCTACTACCGTATCGTCTCTACCCGTAGGGTGGCTGCCCGCAATCGGACGAAGACAGAGCAGAGCGAACGTGTCCAGGCGCGGGGCATCTCAGATCAGAGTGCGCAGGAGCTCCCACCGACAGTGTCACGCGGTCATACCAAGTCCAGAATGCTGCGTAGGCATAAACTTCCATAGGCCTTCTGGGATTTCTGAGGTCCGCACTCGACGACCCTCCCTGGTGCACGGAACGCGCCAGAGGCGGCGCCGGAGGCGGCCCCAGGGGGGCCCAGCGCAGATCCAGTAAATCAGCGCGGAGCTCCGAGAATTGATGTTCATGCACTTGTTCCTTCTTCGCAAGGCGCGGGGACATCGAGCCATTGAGCACTCGGCAGTCGGGCGAGCAGGTCTGCCGCAGGCCGTCGCTCAGGGCATCGGCTCAGGGGGGATACAGCGACCCCCGTCGCTCGCTGATCACCGATAGGGGCCTGATGGCCCACGTGAGGTTTCGCCATCGGGGGCCTGCCGCCGATCTACAGTCAACTCGCAGAAACGCACAATGAGGATGCAAGGGCCTTGGAAGGCCACGTCGACACGTTGGGGGCGGGGCGCGGCCAGCGAAAGCGACCGAGGATGGGCCGACGGAGAAGGATGCAAGAGTGACCTCGGAGAGATTGCCCATCCTGACTATGCGGGTTGACTGCATCGGCGATGTAAGGTCGATTCCAAAGTGATGTTTCCCCCCCCCGAGCCGCTTACCCGCCTCACGTGACCCCGAGGGGGCCGACGAGCCGTGGGGGCCGCAGGCGCCTCTATCGTGCTGCTGCTGCTGCGGCGGCTGCTGGCGCGCCTTCGCTGCACAGCGGAAACCGGTGCTGCCACTTGTCATCATCTGTCGTCGGCATATCCTGATCCTCGTTCCGTGCAGCTGCCTCTGCTCCTGTCGCTTCCCATCTGCTTCATTCCTCCACCCCTCCTCCTTCTCCTCCTCCTCCTCCTCCTCCTCCTCCTCCTCCTACTCCTCATTTTCCCCCTCTTCCTGCTTGCCTCCTCCACCTGCTCGAGATCGGAGTCACTCAAGTTTTCAGGCGAGTGTGGGAGATTTGGCGCGATCTCACGCTGCTCAGCGTGGCCTTGAAGGGCACTGCAGATCCCTCAGCGTGTGCTTTCGAACTGGGTGGCTCTGTTGAAAGCTGCGGCGGGCATGCGCAGAGTGGTACAGCTGTTGGCTCCGCTTCTAGGTCACCGAACCTCTGGAGGTCCGCCTTGCCGCAACGGCTGGACAAGGCTCCAACAACTGGTCGGAGAGATCCGGGCGCACGCGGACATGGACGAGGGATCCGTGGATCTGGCACGTGTGCGCCAGATCCACGGATCGGGGAGAGATCCCCCCGAAGCGTGGCAGCATCCCGTCCTCGTTCGACAGCGGAGCGTTGCCGACCCTGCACGGAAGAGCGCCGACTCCGTGCGGAGGCGGGGCCCGTCGCGGATTCGCTCGTCTTGATCCATGTCTGCGCTTCCTTGAGAGACGTTGTCTGGGCGGGGCTTACAATCTGGCTTCCAGCGGGTCTGGGAAGCGGTTGCCAGATGATCAGAGCGAGGTCGAAAGACAAGATGAAGTAGACAACAAGGAAAACGGGGGGCGAGCGAGCGAGAGAGAGAGAGAGAGACAGAGGAAGAGGAAGGCAGAAAGGAGGAAGATATTGAGAGGATCGGGATATGGCACTGGTCCTCGTCATCCTTCCTGCTCCTCATCCTCGAATGGAAGAAGGTCCGGGAGGTCAAAAGGTGCCAGATCAGCATACAGGCGGAGTGGTAAAGCAGGGAAATAAGGAAGAGAACACAGGCAGCGCTGGCCTTGTTGCTGCCGCTGCTGCTGCTGCTCCTTCTCATCCTCGCCCTCCTGCCCCTGGAAGTGTCCTCATGGCCCCCTGAAACCAGTTGGTCTCCCTGGAACTCCCCTGTCCAGCGTCTCTCCCTCACTCTCCCAATCTCTGGTCGAATGAGCTGTGAAACGAACGTGTAAAATCAGTATGTTCCACCAGTCCGCCTCGTCACTGGGCGCAAGTCTGAGTGGCCAAGGCGACGTAATCTTGAATCCCCGCGGCCATGGCAAGTCCCGTCTCAACAAATGCACCCGCTGCTGCACAAAACCATTCGCACAAAGCTGTAACAACTGTCGTGGAGGCCCCGTAAAATAAGCCGCAAACCTCAGGCACATCACCACAGGCGAATAAGTCTTGATTCTTGTGGCAGCATGCAGGATGTGGGGGCTGGGGGTCACCACCTTTAGTTACCGTGGAAGTTAATCCAAACGGAACCCACCGCAAGAAACCCAACTTGAAATCCACCGAGGATTCCAGATCCAGGCTGGTTTCTTTCACTTCGGCTGCAAACGAAGAAACCCAGGGCACGCTGACCTGAATTGCGTCTTGATCGCTTGCGTTGTGTGGTTTGGTATCTTGAATCAAGGAGCCCATCGCGCCGACGCCCACGAATCCCAGGGTGTCCGGCGATTTGCAGTTTCTTCGAGACTGCTGCAGCCTTGAACGCCGAACGAAAGATAAAAAACCCAGGGCACCCGGACGAAAAATATTAGGCTTCTTGTCATGCGGTCCGGCTGTACAGTCGGGGCGTTGACCTAAGGAACCCTAAATAAGGAACGAGGCCCCTTTTTTCCATAAGTTAACCTTCGATTTCCTGTCGAGAACATAAGGGAAGCCTGAGGCAAGCTGTGAAACACTTAAGGAACGCGGAGCCCCTCCCCAACGAAAAGGGTTCATTCTTCAGGGCACCGACTGTATGGCCCAAACGCATAGACGGGGTCAGGCCCGCATAACACCCTTTGGGTTCTGGCTGTCGAGAACATCGGCACCGTCCAAGCAACGCCCGGTATGCCCTTTCGGGCGGGCCCCGTGAGCCTGGCGGCCCGCGGGTAAGACCAGAGGCCTCGGAACCCTGGGCGCTCTGTTTAAGAGGTCCTTGGCTTTATGACACATAACGACTACACCAGCCATGCCTCCTGCCAGGAAAACCGAACGACTCAGATCAGACTCATGCTGGGCTGTGCTCTGCGCCCTCTCTGGATGTGATTTGGTCCCGTCTTCAGCGTACTCATCCGCTTTGTCATTACCTGGTTTGTGTAGTCTGGCTGCGCCAACTGCATCATCACCGACATGAGCTTTCACCTTACTCAGAGACCAATCAGGACAGGTACTGGCGAGAGAAGGGCACCTTCCATATTTCACTGAGCGGCGATATCCCGCTCGTTGACGCCCGCTGGTCCTTCGGGCCTGCAAAGAGGGCCTATAGTCGAGGTGCAGCCTGAACGGCTCTGAACCTTCCTCTGCTTCAAAATGCTCCAGGGCCTGGAACACTCTACCCCCTCCTCCGGACCCGCTCTCCTGCGAATTATCCCCCCTTGTCCCCTACTGAGCGGGGCCAGCGAAGGGACAACCTGCGACAGAGCGAGGCCTGACAAACCCCCTCGAGGACACCAGATACAGTTCATGAGCGCTGGATGCGAGGAGCCTCTGCCCGAGCACTGCGTCCCCCGTTTTCCGATCTTCCTCCATCGTCTCCTCCTCTTCCTCCTTCAACTCCTGCTCCTCCTCCGCCCCTCCTCTCGAGAGCGCGCGAGCGAGCCAGCAATGCGAAGCCTATTTAAGGCTAGGCGGGCGAGGCCATGGCTTCGATACGCATGTGTATATAGTCACATACACATACACAAACACAAACACACATTCACATGCACACATACACATACAATTACAACTGCATGTACACAAGCAGTTACATATACATGTACATATGCACAGACATTCCCATAACCATATGCGTACACATATACATGCAATAACACTTACGCACATACACATATACACATGCGGATCCATCTACCTATGCAGAAACATATGTATATATACGCAAGTCTATACGTAAACATAGACTGTACGTATACGTATGCAGCTGCGTGCTCATTGTTTTTGTTTGCTGACCGTCGCCGTACTAACTTATTCCTCGATTCGATATGTGATCGGGTTGGGAAGGCTATGCCGCGCTGTCGTTGTGCAGTTTGGAGGTCAGACGTGCTAAGGCCTGCCAGGAGGCCTCTCGGGGCATCTCGGCAGCCTTTCGGGGGGGCCTTCGGGGGCGAGTGGCCTCTTGGGGCCTCTGGGGGGCCCGCTGGCGGTCCCGGGGGTCCCTCGGGGCGGAGGGCTCGGAATCTCAATTCCAATTCCCCCTCACGGACCCCTCTGCGGGCCCTCTGAGGGCCCTCTTGGGCCGTCTTCGGCGCTTCGTGCGTCGTCTTGGGCCCTCCTGGGGCGTCTCGGGGTCCTCTTTGGGGCCCCTTGGGCCGCCTTGAGGCGATCTGGGAGGCCTTTTGGGCCGTCTTGGACGCCGCCAAGGCCGAAAAGCCGCATCTGGCAAAAATGCATGGTCTCTACAAAGGGAGAAAACGATGCTTGCCTCTTGGAGCTTTTTGGGGAGGGCCCTTCGAAGCCTCTTTGGGCGTCTTAGAGGCCTCTTGGGCCGTCAGGAGGCCATCTGGAGCGTCTGGCCCTCTTGAGCCGTCTGGAAAGCCACTTGGAGCCCTCTTGGCAAATCTTGGGACCCTCTTGGGGCACGGTGGGGCAGTCTTGGGGTCCTCCGAGGGCGCTCCCGACCCACCAGGGCCGCGAAAATCAAGGCAGATCTGCTTCTATGTATACAAATGCCCACTTCATCAACACGACACGAACACGTCGGTCGGAAGAAGTAGGTACAAAACATGAAGTAGGAAGGCGGATAAAGTGGATTGGGTCCAGGCCCTCCCAGAGACTAACAAAGCAAACCACAGCAAAAACATGTCGGTTCTTGAAGTAGGAAGGCGCTTGAAGTAGATTGGGATCTGGGAATCCAAAAATACCTACTTTCAACGACCGGCCTGTACCCATACACAGAGGAAACATGCAAATACGCTGTGAGACACACGGCGCTGCCCCTCTCTAGGGGAAGCCGGAGGCAGCGCAGGCCTGCTGCTGCATGAGTTGCGCCCAGCCTGCAGGGGCGGCGAGCTGCGCTCCCGCAGCGCGGGGGACGACGGGGCACCGGTGAAGGACGAGAAGTGAGGAACCGAACTTTATACACCGATGCTTTTTTCCGGTCCCGCACCAGGATTCGCACAAGAAAACGGATTGTGGTGTATACGGCAACCTGATGTATACATGTTTTGTTGCTTCCACGGGGAAGCGGGGAAAAAAGTATACACACCACCCCGACGTCGTCGCCGACCCTACAAAAAGTCCTGGGATCGAAAAACCGCCCGCCACTGGCAATGTATATGCTCCAGTCTCCGAAGAACAACGACCGAACGAGCGACCGCCATTGCGGACGACAGACGCCAAGGCCCAGCCGATCGAGGAGTTACTGGCCTGGGTCAGTGCAGAGCTGCGCAAATCAGGCCGTGCAAGATCCTGCAACATCCTGCAAGATCCTGCAGGATCCTACACCCAGACCCTGGTCGATGCGACCCTGGCCCAGCAGGATCCTGCAATATCTGGCGCTCTGACTGGCCCCCGCTTGCACTGACCCCCGTCTCTTGAGCCCCGAGCCGAGAGCAGGTGAACGACACCGGGGCCTGTGGATCATGCCAGCCCCTGCGCTGCGAGAAGCATACAAAACCAAACATATACCAATTGTGTGGGTGGTGGGGCTGGGTGAGGGGAGGCAAAGCAGTATCAACAATACACCGCCGTGGGGGATGCATCAACGTGTTACTCCTGATACGTTTAACTTACATGTTAACCAGCGAGGACTCTAAGCATTTTGTTTCTAACAGCATTTGTTGCGCAATCTAGGTGGGGCAATATACGCGGCGTAATCTAAGTGGTGGAATCTATGTTGTACAGCACACGTCGTTCAATCTATGTAGTGCAATAGGTGCTGTGCAATAGATGTGGCGTTTTCTATGCGGTCTGGTGCAGTATGCGTTGTACAATACATGTTCTACAATCGATGTTGGGCAATCTATGTGCAAGAAATGTGGTGCGTTCAGTGTGGTGCGCAATCTATGTGGTGCAATCGATGCGGTGCAATCTTCGCGGTGCAGTTAAATTCTGTTCTCAGTGAATTGTCAACTCCGCTGCTCGCGCGATCGTTCGACCCACTCACACACAACCTGGTTTGCTAAACCCATGCGCGTGACCTGGCGCATCGCTGCGGCCGCGCTAGCGCGCGCAGGCTCGCGCGCATAGCGGGCAACTAGTCTGGCGGGGCCGACGCGGCCGCGAAGGCGCTGGGGACTTCCCAGCGCGTCTCGCAGGCCGCGCTGACGCGCGGGGTTTTACAACGCGTAGGAAACACCGGCGGGCGCAATATCATGGCGACGTCGACGACGGTGGCCGCGATGATGATAGTAATGATATGCTTCGCGGCACGTCCTGAAAATGCTGAAAAACGATTGTTTCGATGAGAAATTTGCAAAAGTGCGCAGACTTTTTTGCTTAGACACATGTTACAACACCGTTTGCGTGTGTGTGTGTGTGTTTATACGTGCTAAAGGAATCCAATCTTGAAATCCGCGCGGGGCCCGCTGAGTTTCAAGAATTCCGGCATGCGCGCGCGAAGGGCCCTCGCAGTCGCATGTGGTGAAAATGGTGAAACGTGTAAGGTTTTCATAAGAAATCCGCACGAGCGCGCAGATTTTGCTGAAAGAAAGCATGTTGCAAAACCACTGGTGTTTTGTTCGGGAAACTCGATCATTAAGGTGGGGAGGCGGGAGTGGGGAAGACTGGGGAAGAGGACTCGGGAAGGACGAGGAGTGAGCAGGTTCAGGAGGAGACGGGACGAGTAAAGCGGCAGGAGCAGCGGGGCAGAGGGAAGATAGAGGAGAAGGGGGGAGGATGAGGGGAAAGACTGGACGGGAAGGAGGGAGACGAGGAGGGAGGGAGGGTATGCCCCCTCGACCCCCCTCCCCAATCCTCCTCCTCCTCCTCCTCCTCCTCCTCGTCCTCCTCCTCCTCATGCTCCCCTCTCCTCTTACCTCCTATCTCCTCCTGCTCCTTTGTCCTCCGCCTTGTCCCCCGCCTAGTCCCCCTCCTCCTCCACATTCTCCTCCTCCTCCTGCTTTGCTCCTTCCTCCTTCCCCGAACCCCTTGCTTTTTCCGCCTCTGCCCTACCTCGAACCTCACCCTGAATCCCGAATCCATACCGCCGTAATCAACAGACCGGTATGAGACCTGGCCTCCTGAGGCAGTCCCTCCCTCTCATCCTGCCCCGCGCCCCCAAGAACTCCGACGTCGTGACTTGCTTTCGCAACGATGGCCCCTGGAAGTTTAGACCCCTCCCAAGGACCAGCTTATCATCCCGAGCCGTTATTCGACGGCCGCCGGAGCCCAGTGAGGCCCCCCCCGGGAGGCCGAAGACGGCCAAAAGCATCCCGCCGTGACTAGCTCGGCGTGCCCGAGATGGGTACAGGGAAGAGCTGCATGATGCCCATACAGCAAGTGATGCCCGAAATCGAGAGCGGCCGCTAGCGTGCAGGGGACTTTGGGCGGCGTCACTGGCAGCGAGTCCTGTTCTCAAAGTGGGCAGGGGCTGCTGTCGGTCTTCGTCCCCGTTTTTTTCGTACCCATCGCGATCGTCCCACACCATCCCCCAGACTTTGGAGTCCCGAAACGGTGTGGTGACAGACCGTGATGACCTCGAAATCCTCCAAGACCTCACCGCACGGTCCGTCACCGCACGGTCTTGGGACCTCGGAGGCCCCTGTCGCCCGAGACGTCCTCGGAGAGGGACTCGACTCCCAAAACCGTGCGGTGACCCCGAATCCCCACCGACTCAACTCACCGCACGGTGTGGTCACCACCCCGTCTGGGGGCCCCCGACAGACATCCGCCGATGTGTTAGTTTCGAGGCACGGCCCGGGAGTCCCCTACTTGGGCGCCCGAGTTATCCGAGGTAACTCGGGTCCGGGGTAACTCGGGCTTGGATTCCCAAAAAACGAACCCGAGTTAGCCCTGACCCGAGTTACCCCTGATGATTTTGGGGCTCTGGACGCCCGAATTATCCGGGGTAACTCGGGTCCGGGGTAAATCGGGTTCGGAGTCCTGAAAAACAAACCCGAGTTAGCCCTGACCCGAGCTACCCTTGATGATTCGGGGCTCTGACCTACCCCTTCGACGAGGACGGCGTTTGGATCCGATGACGGGCCCCAGAGGCCGACATCGAGGAACAACACCGGCATTGCACTGAACAACATCGTATCGTCGGAGATCTGGGTTCACCTCCTCCTCCTCCTCCGTCTCTCCGTCTCCTGAGGGTTCAAGCCCGATCTGTCTGGCTGAGGCTCTGGGGGGGGCCTGTGCTCAGGGGAGGCCGAAACACCGCTCAACGATGTGCTGCTTGACCGAACCTGCCGGATCGGCCCTTCTCCCGACCCATGCTGTGGTGCGAATCATCTGCGCGCCTCGCCTCCGTCGTCGTTGTCGGCGTCGTCGTGGTCGTGGTGCTCGTTGCTCTGCTCGGGATATGATGTGATGTCCTTCTGCAATGGCCCCCCCCTTTCTCCCCGCGCCCGGCCTGCCATCATGCCCTGCGGCATGCCTCCAGACATCATGGCCCCGCCGGCGCCCGCCAGCCGGGCGGCCAGGCCTGTGCCCCTCGCGCGCGCGAAACGCGCGCGGCGCCCTTGCGCCAAACGACTGCGGCGAGCTAGTGGCGCGTCGCCCCGTCGTCTTCGTCGCCTTCGTCGTCGCCATCGTCGCCGCCTCCGTCGTCGCCGTCGTCGCCGCCTCCGTCGTCGTCGTCGTCGTCGTCGTCGTCGTCGTCGTCGTCGTCGTCGTCGTCGTCGTCGTCGTCGTGGTGGTCATTATCGTGATAGTGGTCGTGGTCGTCGTCGTCGCCCCCGTCGCCTCCGCCTCGGTTGGCTGCCCACGGGCGCCAGGAGGGGCCCAGTCACCACTGGCCAGCCCGCCCTGCTCACCAACTCCCCATCGCATCCTCGCCTCGCGTCCTCGCCCAGACCGCCTGCGCGCCGTGGGTTCTGACAAGCACTGTGCGGCCGGATCCTCCAGAGAATCCAGCTGTCTCCCCAGGCCTCCCCGGGCCTCACCAGCGGACACCCCCCCACCAACCGTGCGTGCGTGACGCCCATCCCAACCCTGGGCGGCGCACACGCCCCCTCGCGCGCTCGCCCATGCAAGCAGGGCGGCCTGCGCGACGCCTCGCGCCCACCGCCTGGGCAAGCGTCGCCCCGCGCCGCTGCGCGGCATCTCCCGGGCCTTTCCCAGGCCTCGCACAGACCACTTCAGACTTCTCCAGGCGTCTCCGCCACCCCCCGTCCTCTCCGGGCCGAGGCCGGCCCGTCGTGGGCCCGCTGCTCGTCGCCGCCGCCGCCGCCAGCGGGCAGCGCGGCGCGCCGCGGCGGGGGGCTGGAGGAACAAAACACAGCACACCGAGAAATCCTATGAGGCCCGCAAGGATTCCTTGGAGCTGCGCTGCACCCCCTTCCACGGCGCGCGGAGCGCGCCAGGGGCGGCGCCCGAGGCGCCGCCAGGGGGGCCCGGCGCCGATCCAGAGAAGCCACGCGGACCGTCGACAGCTCCTGTCCGTGCAGCTTCTTCTCTTTCGAGGGGGCACCACGTGCTCTGCCTCGGCTCTTCCCGCACCGGGCCCCGCCGGCGCCCGTGGTGTGCCCCTTGCGCCGCGGCCCGGCAGCTGCCTGCCACGGCCTCCGCTGGCGGGGCTGGCCGCGCCAGCCCACGCACGCGAGAACTCTTCCGCCTCTGAGTGGCCTCGTCTTTCCCCCCCCTCCCCCCCCCTCCCCCCCCCGCGACCGCCCCCTCTGCCTCTTCCCTCTTGCACGCTGGCACACTTCGCTTTACGGTGCCCCAGCCTACAGTCGGGGCGTTGACCTAAGGAACCCAAAATAAGGAACGAGGCCCCTTTTTCCCACTAGTCAAACTTCGATTGCCCATGGAAAACCTAAGGAAAACGCCGGGTAAACTGTAAAACCATCAAGGAACACCGAGCCCCTCCCCAACGACAAGGGTTTCTTCCTCAGCGCCCCGACTGTAGCTTGCTGGTGCAGCCAACTCTGCCTCGCCGCCGACGGAAACAGTGTGCGGGCGGGGGCCGCTGCGCCAGGGCGCCGCAGGAGCAGCGCCAGGCCGCCGGGGCGCCAGGGCTCGGCGGGCGGTGGCCCGCCAAGGGCCCGCCGCCTCTGCCGGGCCGCCGCCGGGCGCGTGGCAGCACGGAGACTTGCCGTCGCTCGGACGTCCATTTCCCGTTAATTTGTTCGGTTTCGTGCGTGCTTTTTGTTGCTCGATGGTCCAGGATGGTCCTCCATGGTTCTCGCCGAGAAAAAATGCACACGTCCGAGCGATGCCAAGGAGAGAGGAGTGCTCGGATATGGGCGGAGCGGGCGTGCGCGGGGACGGCACGACAAGCACGAGAGAGAGGCTGCAAGGGGCATGCCGTCTTGGGCGCTGCAGGCGGGCGGCGTGGCACCAGAAGGCAAAGCAGTGCGTCACGCAACGGAGCACGAGTGAAGCCATGCTCTGCTCACGAGTGCGCTCTCAAGTGACCCCCTGGCCCCATACCTCTCTCGAGCAAGATCCGCCCAGCTTCGTTCACTGCAGGTTCGTTCCCGCGCGGACGGCTGTCTCTCTCTCTCTCCTCCTCTGCGGCTCTGCGGCGGCTCTTGGTGGTGCGTGCGAGCCAGCCTGTCTGGAGAGACAAGCGTCTGCTCGAGCATGGCGCCAAGGGTCGTCTCTTCCTCCTCCTCCTCCTCCTCCTCCTCCTCGTCCCCTGCACTCCCTTCCTCCTCCTCCTCGTCACGCATTCTTCCTCAATCCCTTCTCCTTGGAGAGCACTCCGAGGTCGGTCGAAAGGGCGGGCCGGTTGTTTCGCCAGAGAGAGTTCCTCACGGCTGATCACGATGAAGTTTAAACTGTGCAAGTGTTTCATATATGGAGGGCGGCCCGTTTTCAATATGTGGCTCTCGTCTTAGCGCCGCACATGCTCGTCTCAAAGTGCGCAAGACGTTTCACGGATGGAGGGCGGCCTATTTTCAAAAGGTGGCTCTCGCCATAGCGCCGCGCACAATAGTCTTAAACATTGCAAGAGCTTCACGCGTGGAGGGCGGTTCCTTTTCAATACATCGGCCCAATGAAAGTTCCTTGAATTTTCATCACGACGCTGGCCGGCGGAAGTCGACGGAAGTAAAACGAGGCGGAAGACGGGGGAAGGCCGCTGGAAGGCTTGCCAATGTCAGCGGAATTAAACGAAGCCCCTTCCGAACCCCCTGCCCCCCGTAGAAGCCTAGCACTGTTGTCTTCCTCCGTGGGCCGGGCGGGATCCCGCCTGGCTTATTCCGCTTTAATATTATAAGTTTAGTTCAGGACGATCAAAATCCCACCCATTAAAAAGGGGTAGACCAAAATCCCGGGTCGTTCACGGATCCCACCATGCTGGGATCGGCTCGAAGTAAGATGGGGCTCATAAGTTGCAATATTATTGCCGTGTTGGGGTCGTCCTCAGGTCATCTTGAGATCATATCCCGGTCATGTTTGGATCACGCAATCATCGCGTGGTCATTGTGAGGCCACCCTGGGTGCGCTTGGATCCATCTTGTTGCCATCGGGCCATCTCGGCGTCACTCGTTGCTCACGTGTTGCGTCATCTGCGAGTCGGCCTGACACGGTCCAGAATCCATGGCGGGATCGCGTTGGGGTGGCATCATCCTGGGTCCTCTGGACGTTATCGTCCGTGGCCTGAGGCATTCCTGGAAGCATGTTGTGGCCATGGGACGTCTTGGGGTCGCGTGCGTGCGAACGCTGCGCACGCGCGCGCGACTTTTCATCTTGCCGACGGGTTTATATACATGTTATTCCTCTTGCGAGTTTCCAAGGAAACTTTTGTTGGAGCCAAGTATGTGGATCCTGCCTTGCGCCGCGCGCATTCCTTAAGAGTCTGCAGCAGTTTCAAGGACCCTCAGGGTTATTGTCTCAGAACTGGTGTGTTGGCACGATGTCGCAATGCCAGGGCGCAACAGTCGCGTTGATTCGCGGTGCTGAAGTCCCAGGAACGGTGCTCTGCACCGTGGAGAGGTTACGCTCAGGATCCTTTTCTTCGCGTGCCGCGGCGGCGGCCCCAGCGACGCGCTGCGCCTTGCAAGCTGATGCTCCGATGAAGTGCCGCCCCGCTTCGTGAGGCAGGATGCGAGGACTGATTCGGAACGTTGACACTAGATCGACTGGAAAATTCTTAGCGTGCGTGCCGCGATGAAGCGTGGTGGGCCAACACCTGTGGCGCGACACGCCAATCCAACGCTCCTGACCGTAACCCCGCAAAGGATATGGATCGCTGGGGGCTCTGGCACCTCTGCCACGGACCTCAGCTTCTTGCGGATGACTCCTCCTCCTCCTCCTTCTCCTCCTCCTCCTCCTCCACCTCCCCCCCCTCCTCCTCTTTCTCCTCCTCCTCCTCCTCCTCCTCCTCCTCCTCCTCCTCCTCTCCTTTCCTCCTCCTCCTCCTCCCCAAGTCCCTCCCAGTGTCCAGCCGCACCAGTGTCCCGAGCTGCGGCCGGCCGTGGCGACGAGGGCCCCCCCCCCGAAGCCCATCCTACCGCTGTCTCAGCTGGCCCTCCTCGGACGAGCACGCATACCCACGCGGCCGAGAGCCCCGCTCGACGACACAGCCCGAACACATCCGAGGCACCCACGGAGCGACTCTGGCAGGCGCGCGGGCTCGCGCGTCTGCTCGGGCGCAGGCGCGGGAAGCAGGCGCGGCGTTCTCGCCCGCTCCGCGCGCGCCCGCGGGGGGCGGTCTTCCCGCGCGCGAGGGCGCGGCTACAGCGGGAGGGAAAGGACGAGCAGAGGCGACGACGACGACGACGACGATCATGATTCGGTTACGCGCAAGATCGGCCCGCCGCTCCCCTGGATGCAACTCTCGCGCGTGGTCCGTGTGCCCGCGCCCTCACGTTTCAATGCTCGCGCGGGGTCGCCGCGCGATATCTCTCTGTCTCGCCGCTGGTCGCAGCTCTGTCAACATTGGGATCGGGGAGCCTGGGCAAGGGCGGCCGACTGCAAAGGTGGCCCTAGACAAGAATGGTCAGAATGGCCTTTGATGCGCGGCCTGCCGATGGTTGCGTGCGATGCGGCAATAGCGACCCTCGTGCCTGGTTTTGGCCACCAGCGAACCCGGAACGCCCCGCACCAAAGCCACTCAGGCCCCAGCGGGTGCCTGGCGAACCTTGCGCGTGGAAACACTCGTCTGTGAATGACTTACGCGGAAGTCTGAGGCGGGAGCCCCCTCCTTATGGGGCCCGCACTTTATGTTCGAATCCGAGGCGCGTCATCGGCGTCCTGTAACTGTCGTCACCGTTGGGCTCCTGACGCCTTCATATGGAGGAAGTATGAGGCGGGAGCCTCGTCTGCGAGTGAATTGCGAAGAAGTCTCAGGCGGGAGCCCCGTCCTTCCGTCCTTATGGGGCCCGCACTTCATGTTCGAATCCGAAGCGCGTCATCGGCGTCGTGTAACCGTCGTCACCTTTGGGCTCCTGACGCCTACATACGGAGGAACAATCAGGCGGGAGCCTCGACTGTGAGTGAATTGCGAGGAAGTCTGAGGCGGGATCCCTGTCCCTG